TAACATGAATTTATACAGCTGGTGTTACTTTTTTACATTAATGTGACTTGTGTTTTAGCCTAGTCCAGTTAGTGGAATATGGTTGGCAAGTCTAGCGCTGTACAATAGCTGCCCACCCTAGTACTAGACTCCTGGTACTTTGGATAAAAGCGTCAGCTAAATGCAATGTAATGTAATGTAATGTAATGGTACTAGGATGGGTTAAATGCAGAGGCCAAATTTCACTGTGTGTGCTCTGTGCTCTGCATGGGTGACCATTATAGAGGGTTTCATCCCTCCCAATTCTATTTTTCTATGTTGCCTGTGATGGCATATGGTAATCAATATAAAAGTGGTGCAAGAATAAGTCCTAAAACCGGGAAAAGATTAAGTATTTCGGTCATAAAATCTAACGTAAATACCCCACTCCTGAACGTCTGAAGCTTCTATGTGGGTTAAAAAAAAGTGGTTGCAAACGAGTGTCTTAATGAGAATACTAAACGTCATCAGTGTTTGTATAACAGAGATTTGAACAGAAGAAATTTGAAGGCACATTTTTGCCACAGCAGTCCACGTCCCATCTTTGAGTAATCAGCCCTTAAATACTCCCATATTAACTCCAGCCACTTTATGTAGCATTAAATTCCAGTGAAAATAAGTTGGAGCTTGAAATCTGCTGTGGTTCACCTCTAATGAAAGCTTTCAAACCAGAGTGAGGGCGACATGGAGTCAAGGGAGAAAAGGGTATGGAGAGGGAGGTATAAGAATATGTTTCCACTCGGGTTTTTCATACGCCCCTCCACCCCCGTTTGTTTTTCAATCCCATCTGAAAGAGAACCATGTTTGTTCCACTCATCCTCATTGACCATACCATTTCTTTGTGGTTTTGACCATTGACATTCAGATTTTGTCAAGTTCCTTGGTGGATTCATAATCTGACTGCAGTTTATTAACTTTTAAAAATGTCAGTTTTGCTGTCAAATTAAAAACTGTGCAGGCTGGACCAAACAGGCCAATGTTATCAGCAAATGTAGTGTCTGTTTCTTGTACCCTGGTTTTACAAGCTTAGTTATTTTAGTTGATATTGTGCAACCGTAATAATTAGCAATCATGCTGATGATGAAGCTGTATTTAATGAAATGACCACCAATTAAACAAAAATTATAGGTACACTATGGAGTTTTTGACCTTTAGTTTGTTTATGCTGTACACGCTCACATGATCAGCCATGCTCCTGAATGAGCTTGTGGGCAGTAGAAATGGACGTAGATTTATACCAAAGTGACAACTAATGCAAAGCAGAAGAAGTGGGATGCGAGCTATGTCAACATTTTAGATCATAAGCATATTAAAGAATCACATTTGCAAATGATTTACGATTTGTGCTTTCAAGTTAATGGGAACTTGGAGGCAGCAGGGTCACGCTCCATATAGTCTGAGAGAGGTGCATGGTCATAAGAAATATTGAATAATGAAAGTTAACTAAGAGAAGGCAATTTAATATCCATTTAGATGTTATTATAAGCGATTTTAATAGGCTATACTGTGCCAAAGATTAGCAAACTGCTAGCATTTCTTCGGAAACCGACTATAAGTGGAGGACAAAACTGAATGTGTAGGTCGATGATATAATATACCTGTGATTATTTCACTCTGACAGCTAATGAAGTGAGCTAATGAAAACATTGGAGCTTGAAAGCAGCGCAGTGAAAACAGCAAAATGGAAATACTCAACGGGCATCGTCTTACAATGTTCAAAAGCACAAAACAACACTTATATAATGTCATGTGTAACAGCTGCCAGGGCCGGCCCTTGGCATAGGCAGTATAGGCGAATGCTAAGGGCGCATCAATCAATGGGGGGCGCCAACATTTAAAAAAAAAAGTTAGACATTTATTTTTATTTTATTTTTTTATTTCATAACAACACAATTTCCCGATTTTGGATCAACAAAGTACATCTTATTATCTTATACTAACAGAACTACGCCTATATTGCGTACAGCATCCATAAACTATGCGCCCCCCCCTCCAAAATCAAGCTGAACCGCCCCGGCCCCAGCCAAAACCAGAGGTTTATGTGAAATAGTTCTTTTTTGAAATAATGGTTTTAGTGTGCAATTATAGGTTTTAAATGTTGTATTTGTGTTAATTTAAAATAAATCAAACTCCCAAAAAACGTATACAGCNTTAAATATGGTTTATTACGGTATGACCATGGCATAATGCATGTAAGGTCCCAGCTGTGTGTGTGTCACACACACACACACACACACACACACACACACACACACACACACAGCTGGGACCTTACATGCATTATGCCATGGTCATACCGTAATAAACCATATTTAATTTCACACCCATGTTTAACTTTATTGCTAGCTGGCAACTTAAGTGGCTGTAGCTTTAATGACATGTGCTAAGGAGGAAGCGTATGTGACGTAAAAGAAAGTGTAGAAAGGAGGTTAGGATGGATGAACAAACACAGGATTTTGCTTTGTGAACCATTGACTTATGTTCACTTTTCACAAGTAAAAAAAAATTACATGACATACCTAAAGAGGACATTCTGCTAATGTCAGGCTCATAATGTATTGTGTGCCTCTACTGTGAAATGTGTCCATGTTTTAATGTTTACAAATGTTTTCATACTGCCTGTGCTGCATCACCTCTTTTCACCATACAACTCACTTTTTGGTTTAAATACTCCCAAACTTTCTCCTCTGCCAAGTACATAATGTTTTCGGTTCTGTTGATTAGGTTTTAATTTGTTTGTCAGCGTGATTAAGAATAACTACCAACTCAAATGTACTCTTTATATCATGGGCCAAGAAAGAATCCATTAAATCTTTGAGCTGATCCAATTCAGGAGGAGTGCCCTTCTAGTTAAAATGCTACTGGTGATAGAGAGTAACAAACAGACTTTCCTTTGTCACTAGACAAAGAGACTGGGAACAGCTGGGTTAATCCAATATCTCAAGACTATATAAAGAACAAGGCAAGGTGTTCGAGAATTTCATTAGAGGAACATAATTGTTTAAGAGATCTGTCATACTGAAGCAGAATATCTGATTAGTAATTCTGCCTCAGCTCTACCCCAATTAAAAAGTGCAGACTCATTACTCTCCGCAGGCTAATGATGTCTGGCTCATGTCTTCCTGCCCAGGGACATCCTTTTTTAAATCGTTGTAGTTTCCTTCATTACCCTGCAACACATGTAAACAATCTGCTGCAGCTCACCCCCATGTGTCCAAGACTATTTGGAAAGTGAATTAGAAACTCTGTTTAATGCTGAGAGCTTGTGATGACATGTGGCCTTAATCATGGTTGCTCCTTTCGCTATGTGAGTGAAATAAAACGTGCTTCGAATCGTTTTCAAGAGGTTGTTTATCTTTCACTCATGCTTCCTTTTCGCTTGTCTCATTGTCTGGCAGAGTGGGGTGTTTGTAGTAGATGCACAATTATTTGCATTTGTCTTTCATTGTTGGTTTTGGCCGATTTTTGTGGCAGATTGCTGTGGTTTTTCCTTGAAATACTAACCCCGAAATAGACAAAACATTCATTTAGACTCTCACAAGAGAATACAGTATATTTGAAGCTCATTTGAAGGCCTTTTCCTTATAGGACATTTTAGAAATTGTCAATCTTGAACCAAAATCTACGGTGGCCGACATGTGCAAAACACGTACCGTAATTTTCGGACTATAAGGCGCACCTGAATATAAGCCGCAGCAGCTAAATTGAATGATGTGTACATATATAAGCCGCACTGGACTATAAGCCGCAGGTGTTTTAATGTTTAATTACCATATGTAAGGGTTCGTGCACAGAGGGGATCGTCGGGAAAGAGATGGCTGTTTGAGGAAGCTCCCATTTATTAACATTTCAACAAACAAGTTGCATATTTGCATAACGTATTCAAGTGTTACCATTTAGTGCAATAGTAGCTACAGAACATGTACTGTGCTGTGTAAACTGTACTGTATCACATAGCGTTTCAGACACACAAACTTTTCAACTTTCAAACTTAAACGGTGCGCTCCCAGCGCACGTACCGGCAGTGATCTACAGCAGTGGTTTTCAACCAGTGGTACGGGGACAAACTGTCTCGCTCTCGTAATGTCTGTCTGTCTTGCTCTCGTTCTGTCTCTCGTACCACTCTCGGTTCCACTTTTACTTTTGTGCGCTACCTGTCTCACTCTTATCCGGCCTCCAGCTTTTCCTGCTGGACCCCGCCGCTTAAAGGTGGGGGGTGCGGACCGGCCATAGAGCCCATAGAGTTAAAGGTGGTGGACTGTAACCTGTAAAATCCATAGATTTAGGAGGTCCCCTAGTGGCCGTTAGCTGTAAAAATCCATAGATTAGCCGCACCGTTATATAGCCGTTAGCTGTAACAAGTAAAAATCCATAGATTAGCCGCACCGTTATATAAGCCGCAGGGTCGAAAAATGGAACAAAAGGCGCGGCTTATAGTCCGAAAATTACGGTATATTAGGAGTAACATGCTGCACTTTCGAAAATAATGAAAATATAAAAACACAAATGTGCCAAAACACATGCAGATGAAGAAATATCTTCACCATCTTAATGAAACATGCGCACCATTTACTAAAGCTCTGCATAAACAAAATGCTGCAAATTCAAAATGCTGCAAGAAGCGTAAAACACAACAGAAAAGGGGACCCTGAAATGCGAAAAAAGCTGGGACTGGATCGCTTGTTGACGTTATGGGATTATAAAGATAACAAACTGTCACTGTTGGCAGAGTAAGTCTGTTTCATAATTGTATCAGTATATTTGAAATGACTAGGTTAGCTACGTTAGCTAGCTTACAGCAGATCTGCAATAATATCAGAAGGAATCGAATTTTTAAAATTAACCGATAAAACGTATATTTTAGGTACGTTTTCCAGGGACAGTGACAGCTGGTCAGTGTTAGAATCCCAGAACGTCAATAAGCGCTCGATCTGGTCCCAGCTGAAGTTTTACTTTTCATTGTCACCGTTTCCATTGTGTCTGCAGCGTTTGATTTATGCAGCTATGTCGCTAAATGCTGCGCATGTCTCGTCAAGTTGGTGAAGTTGAATTTGCATGTGTTTTGGCCCATTTTTATATTTGCATTGGTTTGGAAAGTTCAGCGCTGTTTTCGGTCGTTGTAGTGCGTTTGCACGGGTCAGCCACCACAACAAACTCTGCAATAAGATATCCCCCGTAGAAGATTATTCACACCATCCTCTCTTTTGTGTTACTGTAAATGAAGCAACAATGACTCAGCAGACAGATATGTAAAAGTGGGGCTTGTGCAACCATGATATCTGTCGTTATGGTGACCACAGGCTTTGAAATTGTGTTTGTATGTTATTGAGACTTATTGCCAACTTCAGCCGAGAGCCGGGCAAGCCTGGGGGGGGGTTAATCCATAATTGATCACCTCTGCTGAAGTTGGATGTGTTTTTGTTCCATACTGCCTACTCATTTGTCAGTTCTAAGAATGTTAACGCATGTGCATTACAAAGCTGGAAAAATTGATGACAGGCTTTAGAGCTTTTGGGTGAATGTGTGTTGGTCATCGATCACTGGTGATTAAAACACTTGGAGATGATTTATGTAGACGGGTTTTCCGTGATAAAGAGTCTCAAAGGTGAGATAAGGACTCACTGAAACGAAGAACAGATGTAGTTGGTTTAGCAATCATGTTGAGGAGTAAGGGATTAAATGTAACAGGATTATGTCATCAGCATACAAAACAACTGTGTACTGTATATACATGTAATCATATTGCTGTTGCATTTCAAAAGATTGGGGATAACTGCAGGGTTAGAATGTTACTTAAAGAAATAAATCAATAACACAGGATACATTTTTTTGTCTCTCCCTTCATGATGAACATGTGAGACTTACTTTAGGACATTTCAATGCCTGAAAATACCTTAAGTAGACCACACTGCGTTTCTTATAAGCAAAAAAACCTAATTTAAAGTCAGGAAAGTCAGTTTCATCATGAGTTCAAAGATACGAGGAGCCTCTGCTCTTCCTTCCTCCATTAGAGGACCCTCCATATCTGTCATCTTTATGGTTGAATGATGAAGCTGCAGTTACTGTAACTTATCTGTTACCATGATGGGAAATGGATTTAATAAACTCCCCAGTGTCCATTTTCCGTCTTCTTTCATGTCTCTGACTCAGTGATGTCTTCATCATCACTATATTTTTCAACATTTATATGCTCCACACACTCCTCCTCCTCTTCTTCCTCCTCCTCCTCCTGTTTTCTTCCCCTCCTCTCTTCCGCTCTGTTGAGATCAAAGCTAGGCTCAAGGCTAGTGGAGAGCGTGAAACCGTCTCCACTGTCCCATTACACGCACTCATTTAATGTCTGGAACCTTTTAGGGATGTGCACAGTCACCTTTTTATTTATTTATTTATTTATTTGGGGTCACATTATAGTACAAGTACAGTTTTTCAAATCATATATTTTTAGAGACCAGAAAGTGACAAGTGAAATAGCAAACAAAATTAGTCAAAGTAAAATAAAAACTAAAAGTACGTGGGGGTTGTTTGAAATAGCAAATGTCTACACATGTACATATGCATACATATCAACATACATTCAATACACATACACACATACATGTGACCACACATCTATACATATACATTCAATCGGATGGTCGTCTTTGGGATATGTAAATTCTCCACTTTTTCCATATTTCTTCAAATGTGTTTTCCTGAAGCCTCATTGAGAAGGTGATTCTTCTCCATAACAGTCAACCTTTTTAACTGGAGTTGAATAGATGCACCTGTGGAGATTTGTAAGACAAATTAGAAATAAGGATCATTTATCAATACGGTGACCATTCAAATCAAAGGGTGTTGAGTTTCCTTGTTAAATCCTTGAGATGGCAGCCTTTGCGGACCATGTACATCCACGAAAACCTATATAACACACTACAGGAAAGGGAAAACCCCCAAAAGCATAATACGTCCTTGTAAACGTTTAAAACAACTACCTAACAAGTCATTGTTGACTTGGTTTGACGCAGGAAACAAATTGGGTGAAAGATCTGTATTTCTTTGACCAATTCATCACCGGATGATTTGGTCTTTGATTAGAAATGATTTGCCAAAAACTAAAGCCATCCCTAAAACGCAATTACAAATAAAGTCTAATTTTAGATCAGGCTTTCCTGACACAAGAAAAGCTCTTATAAAAAAACGACACGCCCACGGCCAAGCACAAAAAATTACAATTGCAAGGCGACCAGGGACATTATTTCAAGGAATCTGCAGGACCCTTCACTCAAACAACTGTTGAATGGACTGGGAAGACAGGATGGACTTTTTAGTATTCAGGGAGCCGTTTGTAACGTCAACTGATTTTGTTGAACTTTTCCTCCCCTCACAGCTGCATTTGCTGGCCTGCTGCACCTCCGTGAGCTGGACCTCTCCAACAATACCCTCCACTACTTCCAGTACGGTGTCCTGGAGGACCTCTACTTTATACGGAAGCTGTCGTTGGACAACAACCCCTGGATCTGCGACTACAACATCCACTACCTGAACTACTGGCTCAAGCACCACCCCAACGTCTTCCACTCTGGCCTGATCTGCTCTGAGCCGCCGGAGTTCAGGGGATGGCGCGTCGAGGATTACGTCAAGACCTACAACAGTGAATGTCCCAAGGATAAACAAACTGGAGGGGGGGATACAGGACAGGGAGGACAAGGGGGGACAAACAATGAGGCAGTGGGGGAGATGGGTGAGAGGCAGGAGGAAGGTCAGCCTCAGCCTCTGCAGGAGAAGAAGCAAAAAGGGATTGAGATAATCAGGCTAAGTTAGAATGGGGGGTGATCGCGGACTGGTGGGGGTTATAGGGGTGTTTGATTAAAATGCAGTCTTTGGAGAGGCTGAATAGTTAATAATTAAAGGTAGACTCAGTGATTTGATGTGTAAAATGATGTGTAAAAGTACAATCTTGGGATAACATCCATTGTCTTGTTAGTAGTCAGCTTTTTCCATCTTATTTTAGGACACTTTCGACATTTCCTTTAACGATTATTAGTTGCAAAGTACTATTGCTAAGTTTACCTTTAAACAAAAGTTAGGAGATGCTCTTTGAGCTTTTGTTTCATCTTTTTGCAAAACATTTTCAAACCAGTCTGTATCAGATCTAAAACTCCCAACCAGGACATCTCTTTGAATTTCCCACACAATGAACTATAGGAGCTCTCCTTTTTATTCTGTTACAATCATTTTAATAATGAGTTTAGGATATACTTTTTTTTCTCTTTTTAAAAGAAAACCTTTTTGTATTAATTAATGTACGGCATTGTCTACCTGTTTCTGGAAATAAAATTGGGTTTATTTTTTCTGAATATAAGTCTTATGGCCTGATATCAGACCTTAACATTATGATGGAAGATTGTTTGCATTTGACATGATTTACAAATGAAACTGCCAACATATACAAAGATCTAACGTGCACCTATGAAAATAATCTAGATAAAGGCGGGAAACAACGTCTCACTGATTATCGACTAGCGCCACCCAGTGTGCTGGAGACCAAAACACACCAGACAACTTTGTTTAATTTTGGAAGTCTGGAAGTAAAAGCAGTAATACCACAGTGTAGAAATACTCAAATCATAATACGGAATAATACATCACTCTTTTAATGACCCAAACTGAGATTATAAAACCATATTATTTGTTGCTTGTGACTACTTATTTCACTCATAACGTAATTAAAAAAAATCTTAAGGTAACATTAGTGATAATGAGTACCAAATTCTGGATTGGTATATAAATCAGGTCTGCCAATTTGGCATCTGACACAACCACATAATCCTTCCTGGATGTCCGCCTTAGTCACCTCAGCTACTTAAGCTTGACTTTAAGGTTGGCAGGAAGTCATTTTGGCAACGTTTACATTTAACGGTAATTTAAAAAGATTTCCTGTTTACTGGGCTGCATTTAAGATTTAAACGCAGATGTTAAGTGATGATAAGTCACAGATGTTTTAAATTACATGTTATTTATTGTCGAGAGCAATGAGCTATGTGTTACAGCACACTGCCATCTAGTGTTTACTATTTAGTAGTACACAGGTGGTTGAGTTAAAGAAGACATTCACAGCCTTTTATATTAATCCATGACAATGTAATGTACATCATGATGTCACACATATTGATAATTCACAGTCTTTTGGCTCGCAGCAGCTTCTCCAGGACGTTTTCGTCTGGAGCTCAGCAGCAGTAGAGGATCACATCTCGTCATACCGGCACCACAAGAGGTCACTTGGGTGAAATACTCAAGAGTCATATATGCAGTTATTACATGTTATAGTCTATCCCAGATTTTTATGATGCTTGGAATAGTTTGTTTGTTGATATCTGCATCAATATTGTTCGTGCAACCTTTAAAATCATTAGAATAACAATGAAACAATCCAAGTAGCTGATATAAATAAGATTGGCTTGCTGTAACTTTACCCGCTGTTGCTTAATTCCCCATTGCTTAACATGCCAACTATTTTCCTGTGGCATCAGCTGAACAATAATGTATGCCTAGGTAAGCTACAAAAAAGTAAGCAGAAATAATGTGTCCATAGTTATTAAAAACGTCTTGAATCCAAGGGTTCTTGAGGCCAGCCTTATTCCATCAATGCATCTGTTCTTCTCTCTCCATAAGTGTCCTTGCCCACTTCCCTGTCCTCTCCATGTTGTGATCAGCAACATGTCTTCTTCTCTGGTGGAGTGTGAGCAGTCATGAGACCATTTATCGGCCTAGAGTTGGACCGGAGGAGGACTCGAGGCGTGTTGTTCCTCTCCGAGTCCTCCTGCTGGACATTGAGGCCGTTACGAGACAGCAGCTCTCTGGCCATCATGATAAACGCTTCTTCCACATTCTGACTCTCCTGGAAACAAAGAAGGAGATAGAGAAGTTGAGATAACAATTTTAACCGATTTATCATGTTACATGTACAGTATGTGTGTACTCGTTACCTTGGCTGATGTTTCCAGAGCAGCTAGGATTTCTTTCTCCTTTGACAGATTGCAGGCTTGCTCAAACTGAACCTGCCTTTCCTTCTCCAGGTCACATTTGTTACCTACATGGAGAAAATCAGGGAGATGAGAGATACAAATACAATACATCTAACCTTAAACACCCAATAGGAGTCTGTAGCAAGTCATGTTAATGTTATCAACAATGTACCCAATTACTACAGTATGCTAAGGCTAACATTTCAACACACTTAAGTGGGGATGACCCACTTAACAGGGTTGTACCATCATTTGTCTAAGTACCTTTGTGTTTAGCGCTCTCAAATTTTGACACAAAGGATCCTTATTTGAAACTATAAATGTCAATGTTTCCATCTTCTCAAACAACATCACATAGTTCAATAATTAAAAGTAAATAAACTCAATAACTTTCACCGTATAACCATTCGATCCACTTACTTGATGCTGCCATATTTTTGAATTCATATTATTCACTTCACATACTAACACTCACCTATGAGAACCAGCACCACATTGTTTGCTCCATAGATCTCCACCTCTTTGATCCAGTGAGTCACAGAGTCAAAGGTCCCCTGTCGAGTGATGTCATAGGCGATGATGGCGCCGTGTGCGCTGCGGTAGTAGCTCTGAGTGATCGTCCGAAACCTCTCTTGACCAGCCGTGTCCCACACCTGCATCTGTAACACACACACACATGTTAACATCCCTTTAGGGGACCTTAGGCTACATTAACTGACAGTCGTTTTTCTTTTTTAGACAACCCTAACCCTAATTACAACTCACATAACCATTACTTTACCCTTAACCTAACCTTGTGTATACATAGGTATGTCCCCACAACATGAGTAAAACATGCGTACACACACACACACCAAAAAATGTGTCAGATTATTTGTGTCCCTTGACAGAATATTCCCTGAGCATCTGACAGACCATGTTTACGCGGTTACAGCTGTCATAGCAACCAATCTGAGCTCTCTGGCACAGCCTTTGCAATGCCAGTGTTTATGGTTTCAACTGCCTACTTCTGCTTTTGAATCATAGCATCATTTGTATATAATAAAAGCTGAATATGATCCTATAAAATACACTTTGGTATAACCTTCTTTGGATTGTTGGTGGGGGATGGATGAAGTTAACACGGAAACAGAAACCTATCGTTGTATGAACACTGAAATCTTTACTTCTACAACCTTATTGTGACCTTATGTTGTGATTCAAGACTGTTCTTCACCTTGTTTGTGACACATTTACAGATAAACCTAAAGCAACAGATACGAAAAAGGAAAAATTGTAGCAACTTTGATCATTCTAGGCACCCTAACCTACAGGAGTTGGCGGTGCCTGTGTCTTCCCAATGACCAATGCAATCACTTTGCACACTAATGAGGAACTGACTGGTTCAAGACCAGAAATACTCTGGCAACATACTGACTTTTAAAGCACGCAAAACTGGTCGCTGTAAAATCATTTAGTTCCTTTTCAAACTTAATGACGGTTTGGAGAAGTCATTACAGGTTTATTTTTGTCTGCACAAAGCTTGAGCAGAGCTACCTGAAAAACCAGTCCTTCATGTAAGCATCTGGTCCGACTGGTTTTTCTGTCCAACTGTAACCAAAGGACAACTCTCACTGTGGTGCCATTTATCCCCAAACCTGGGAAAAGTCCATCACATCGCATATGAGTTGCATTTTCTAGATCCTGCCATAGGCTTCTTTTCATTAAATATTGGTACCAAAACAATAGCCTGTACTCTGCTTTTATTGTCGGAGCCAATTGGCCCTAAAACCCATGATAAGGATCAAGGCATTTAGCCACCATTACTGGAGCATAATCAGGGTTGGTGCAGTGTTGACCTTGTTAAATGTAAGACTCTTTATCCCATATAGAATGAAATGTAATACTGGTATCATACAGGGGTCATACAGGGACAACGTTTGAATTACAGTAGGGATGACATGGCCTAGAAATACCTATTACTGTATCACATTATTTGTCATACAATGTGTGTCCCTAAACACACCACATTCTGTTTAGTACTAACCTTAACTTTCTTCCCCTCGATATCCACGGTCCGTACGGTGAAATCCACTCCGATGGTGTTCTGCTGTCTCTCTGAGAAGATCCCAGACTTAAAATTCTGAACCAAGCAGGTCTTCCCTACATTAGAGTCTCCAATCAGGATGATTTTAAACAGGAAGTCAAAGGACTCATCATGTTCAGGTCCTGGGGTCTCCATTGTGGAAGTACAGTAGAGTATTTAACTGTGGATGTGCTCGCTCCAATACTGTAGACCACTTGGAAGGTGAAGAGGTGATGGGTTATCGTTATCAATTTCTGTTAAAAAGTGTCACCCAAAAAAATGTTACTCCACCGTTTAGTTTAGTTACATTATTCCACGTGTAGCCTGTAAAACCAGTTTTAAGTTTGTTGCTGTTCATTGGTTAATGATAATCCATTTATCACACCAGTAAGTTAAAAATTAATTGTAAGGCACACAAACAGCAATCTGGAAGCCTCAAATGGGCCTGTTTCAAACAAGTCTTTATAATCCTGCGTTCTCTGTGTCTTGTTTCTCCAGCAATTCAGTTTCACTCTCCCCCTCTCATGAGCTCTCTCAGCAGGACAAAACTGCCTCAGTCCTTGCTGCTCCTCTCAGGTGTTGACCCACTTTGTGGCCTGCAGGAAAAGAAACAACACGTACACATCCTTTTTCTTTCTGGTTAGTTGTCTGTCACAGGTACTTCCTTTTAAATGAAACAGTTAGAATATATCCTTGTCTGTGATCCAGGTTCCTGTCCAGTCCACATGCTATTCTGTCACACGTGTCAGTCCTTTTCCTCTTCCTGTCATCAGTTATTCCAGTTCTTACTCCCTTTTTAGCCTCCTGCGTCTCTCACTCTCACTCTCTCTCTACAATGCACCTGTGTGTGGAAACAAAAGGAGGAACCCGCCTTACCTGTTCCTGGAGTGTAGCCCAGCCCCATTAGCACTGTGGGATCTTGGGAAATGCAGTCATTCAGCCAATTAGAATGCATGAACACACTTATAAACACATTTTGGGATGTTTTGATGCTTTGAGGGAACGAGAAAATGAAGTATGTCAATTCTAACAATGCCTAGCTTACATTATGTTGTTATTGTGAGAGACATCGTGGGGGAATTTAAATGAATAAGCAATGGATAAAAGAACTGGGCCTCCCACTGTAATAGGGGCTGTATAAACCAACCAATAGATTTTAAATTAAGTACCAACTGAGGTCACTGAGGTCTTTAAATGATATGACGTCTAATATGTTCATAACAGATGTATGGGTCAATCAAACCTCATTCGCACAATAATACATTTTGTATACAAATATATGTAAAAACCAGGAAAGGTGTTCAAAATGGCAAGAAAATAAATGAATAATTACACATTGAGCATAGTTTGTGTTTAATACTTTACTATATGTGAGTCAGTGAGACAAGTACTTTTAGATGGGATTTAAACAGGAAGGTATTTTTGGATTCTGGTCAATATGTGTGGAGGATAAGTATTTTTTGTACGTTTTTATAAAGCACAAACTCATTGCCAGGCTTGGGGATTAATGGAAAACATGTGATGGTATTACGTAATAAGGAATACAAAAAAGGGAACTGCATCCCTTAAAGTTACATTGAAATACATAAACTTTTATCTGTTACACTAACTTTTATTTTGTAGTCCACTGCCTGGAACAGGTATACTTAGCATATCATTATACATTGTTTTAGTAAAAATGTGGCTACTTCATTCTTTGCTTTAAAAATATCTTCTTTATTAATGCAGTAAGAGGAAACTAAACTACAGTGTATGCTTGATATGCAAGATGTTTTTTTAATCTTGTGTTTATTTGCATTGCATTTCAAATTGAGGTCACCAATATATAGGATAAGATAAACTTTATTGATCCCAAATTGGACATTCTTTCGTGAGTAGAAAATAAACAGATATAATATATTGACATCTCAAAATAGAAAAAAAAATGTAGTTGACCGTGAAAGATACAACTAAAATGTATACTATCTGACAAATAAACACTATTCACACACACTAAAAATTTAATTTTAACATGCCAATTTTTCCCCAGCTTATAAGTAATTGCAAGGGAATACATGTTTAAAGTAACCCTCCTAAACCTGCCTCTTGCATATCATTCTTTCATATATTTTTTAAGTAATCGTTAAAACAACATCATTCCTGGGCGTTTAAACGCCTCGACTCCGATATTTCCGACTGCACTTGAAAGCGTCACAGACCCCTCACCCAGTGCATCACAGTGACGTCCTGTGCGGATAGACAGATAGATGCCCTTACAGTTGCAATAATAGATCCATAGCAATAATATTTTCTGGATGTGAAAAGGGCGTCTGGAGCCTGGGAGAATCAGCAGCATGCAGCGGAGCGCCGTGTTCGTGATGGCGGATAAAACGAGCCTGAAAAGGCCGTTTATTTTCGCAAACGCTGTGCATATGGTAGGTACTTCTCACCGCTTTGCATGAGATTTAAGCTGAGAGGCCTGATTTCCTTATATGGGTTATTTCTCTGATTAAATGTTTGTTATGTGCTGCGATTTGACCCAGATCAGCATAAGCAGAATAACACTGTCTGTCTCACAACTGCAGCGAAGAAACCCATCCATCAACATTAGTTTGTGCAATTCCTGCAGTAGATTGAATGAAGGAATGTTATATACAAATAAAGTGATGAGGAATTTATCATAACTGGTAGTTGTATGAAGAAGACGCAATGTTTAAAATTAAAATTATTTATGATGTATGCATTAGCATAATAATCCTCTGTAATCTCCACCCCAAATCTGTCAGTCTGAATAAATGCTACTGTTTACAATGTGCTGTCTCAGCTGTGAGTATGCAGTCATGTGCATTCAAGAATATTTGTTTATATAACTAAATGTAATATGACAAGACAGACTTAATGTGCTTCCAAAAAAAAACTAAAAGGGTGACAAAAAAAAAAAAATAGGATTGTATTGATACTATAATAATAATAATAATAATAATAATAATAATAAACATAAGCAAAAAAAGGATCAGGACGTTTTAAAATGTATGTGCATTGAAGCAATTTCTTATATAACACATTTAATATGACAGATATAGACTCAATGTGGATTAAAATGTAAAACAAAAACGATGAAACAAACTAAAATATTAAAAAGGAAGGTATTATTTTTTTTTTAAATAAAAAAGATAAGATTATAACTATTTGTTTACTATTGTATTTTGTCACTTTCTTTGTGTGTATCCTAATTTGATTGTGTGTTTATCGTGGATAGCCTTGAATATAACTTTAAAATGCAGTTTATATGATTAAATAATATTAAAACATTTCAGGTGATACTTTTCTAATGGTATTTTGATTATATATATATTTTTTCCTTATCACCATCTATGCTTTTCATGTCTTGTGCACTTCACAATCTTCACACATTGTTATCTCCCTCTCCACAGGCGCTTTGCTTCTTCATGCTGACGATGACAGTAGCTTGGCATAGAGACCTCCTTCTGACTGGCAAAGTAAGACAGACTTCAGGTTACCTTCTGAACGGATGAAAAATACTCCCGAAGCAGATAACATGATTTATCAAAGGCAGGAATACCTCTCCTGTCAGGCTTCAAAAGGAGCACAATAGTAGCCGGGTTATTCAAGGACAATCAGTGGATTATTTATGCATGGCGTTACTTAGTGGTCCATCAATATTGCCTGCACACAACACATCAGCGTCTTTATATATATTGTCTCCTCACCGTGAGACCTGAGTTCAAGCCTTCATGTTGGCAAGCATCTGCCCGGAGAAGTGTCCTTGGGCAGGACAGTGAATTATCTTCAGGTGCTGCTAGCTGACCCTGACCTTTGACTTCTTTTGTAGCCGGGCTAGCTTGGGAATACAAAATAATATCAACGTTAGTGGGAGCAGTGTGTAGGATTTAGGGGGATGTATTGGCAGAAATGGAATATAATATGCAGTATTATATTTCCATAATAGTAAATTCACTATATCATATCGTGTTACGAAACAATTATCTTAAAATTCCTGTGAGTTTATATAATTTCAAAGTCATACAGTATTAGCACTATGTTTATTCCTAATTTAGTCAATGTTATTTTGAGTGTTGAAGCAGCTAGAAAGCATGTAGCCTGATTGTTCCATACTCCCTTCAGAAAACAAGGATTTTAAGCAGTTTTTTCATTTAGTTTTGCGTACAGAACTTAGTAACAATGAAATCAAACTTCTTACAAATAGGTTCAATGTTGTTGTTAATTCGGCATTGTTTTAAATTTGTTTACTGCAATTAAATCCGTTTTTTGGGATCAAACCAACGCAGTAAACCAGATAGATTCAGCTGTGTGCAGGATTGCGAAAAAACACAAATGATCCTGTGATAAAACTTTGTGAATAACACAAGAAAATATATTGTATCCGCTATTTGGAAAGGGAAGGGTGAGCGGAGGGGTGCTCTCAGTTAATTGCAGTTTGCAATATCACCACTAGATGTCACTAAATCATACACACTGGACTTTTATAATTCATCAAATGATATTTTTTGCCATTTAATGTATCGCCAACGCTTTCTTTCTCCGCAGCTGGTGTCAAATGTTTCCGTGGTGATAATGTACGTGGTGGAGATCGGCTGTCTGCTGCTCTCAGTGCTCGGTGTGATCGGAGCCTGTAAAGGGAAGAGATGGTGTTTAATTCTGGTAAAAACCTGCTTCGTATACTATCACTGTGTTTATACGATTTTTTCTATTTACCTGTGTAGGACAATGTATATACATGTCTCACATTTTTTTTTCTGAAAATAGCATTCTTGTTGACTTACTATTTGTTGTTTTTGTGTGTGCAGTATGCAACTGGATTGGCAGCAGCCAGTCAAACGATTATTGTGAGAACAGCGCTAAGCTACCAAGATGTGTATGAGGTATGTTACTACGGTATACGTTTATATTTTTACAACAATTATTGTAATCCTATAGTATTCAAAACTTCAACAACAGTATGTCTTGGTATCTAAAGAACCGTTTTCAATGTGATTCCTCCCTCCTCAGAAACGCGTGGTCCGTGAAGAGGCCAAGTTATTGTCCATGATGCCACTCAGTTCAACCAACAAAGCCAACAGGACCCTGCTGTACAGTATTCAACAAGAAGTAAGGAGCAATTCAAAGGATTATTTTAACCTAATGTTCATTGGGCCTAGTTTAATGATATACAATCCAAATAGTACATTGCTCTTGTGCAGTGGATGTTGAAAAAAACAAAGAAAACTTCTAGGGAACTAAATCTCTCTTTCTGATGTCCTCAGAAAGTGCAAGTCACACCATATATAAAAAGAAGTGTGTCCAGATGACTCAGAGAACGCTCCCCAAGGGGAGGTGTGCCTCACAGCCTGAAGCACAACACACCCTCAACTAAATCAGATTCACACAAGACTGTGTGCCATACAGGTTCCTTTATCAAGACCCGCCCCGTGTAGCTGCTTGAGGTTAGGCCTTGTTCTCACGTTGTACAATATTCTGGAAATAGGACTTTAACAAATCTGGTTACAGGTACCTCGTGCAAGCATTGATTTCTGGCCAATCCTATCATTTGAATGCTATGCAGGACGGGTCTTGCCAACAAAAAGTAATGGGAGTGTGTGTGTGTGTGTGTGTGTGTGTGTGTGTGTGTGTGTGTGTGTGTGTGTGTGTGTGTGTGTGTGTGTGTGTGTGTGTGTGTGTGTGTGTGTGTGTGCCTCCAGTTTGAGTGCTGTGGTCTTATTGAAGGCTACAAAGACTGGGGCCCTACCATCCCTGCCTCCTGTAACTGTCACTATCCAGGAAAATGTGTAAGTATCTCCCTTAATGTAGCCTCAGATTAGTTTCTTAGTCCAGTCAGATACGACTAATGTAACGTGATGTAACGGGGTCATTCTCTCCTCTCCAGATTCGACTACGAGGCATCGCCACACTCGGGGCTCCAAAGAACCAGTATGTTTATCAAAAGGTAAAAGATTTCTTATTTTCTCACAGATTTTATATCTAAATTAATTTGGAATCACAGCCATGAATCACAGTGGCTGAGGACTTCTCTTTTTAAATCACTGTGTGCTTGTTGGAGGGGTCCCAGAGGCCAATGTTTAACATTTTGCATAAGTAGATGTAATCTGACACACTGGAAGTATACGCCACCAGTATAACCAGATCAATACGTTCTTAATTCACATTGTAACCCCACCTGTTTTTATTTTTCAGCCTTGCCTACCCGTTTATGTTTCTGAACTGAAGCTCGCATTCTCGTTGGCGATGGCTGTACAATTTGGAAGTGGAGTATTTTGGGTATGTGTTCTTTGCTTTTACATTTAAAGGCAAATCATTTGTATGAGAAAACAGAAAGTAGGCAATAAAGGTAGAAATCAATCAATTATTTTTCGATTTTGTTGATTGTACTTTTATTAATGATCTACTGTTACAAAGGCTCTTGGGCCGTGACACTACACATCTTATATCATTCTTATATTAATTATAAACACATGTGTTAATTATATAGACAATATATATACATTTATTTTATCTCTGTGTTTATCACTACAAAAAAGTAATTTTCCCTTTTTAAATTAGCTTATTTTTTGAACTGTTCCAAAATGAAAATATAATAAATATATAATAATATAATATTTATTATTATTTCATATCAATGGGAAATGTTTGTGGGGGAAAATGGGAGAAATTCCCCATACATGTTATATGAATAATTGACTTGATTTCATGAAAAAATACATACAAATATACAATTACTGATGAAGTTGACATATTAGAGTCCAGATGATAGTTTTAGCCTTACCTTGCCTTGCCTGCCTTAGTCAGAAAAATAATCAGATGGCAGCCATTAACATAAACTTGGCTGAGTTTTGATTTTTAAATTGATTGTAATATTTGTCTGTCTTCATAATTGTTGGTGTGTGTACCTGCAAAGGCTCTGCAGATGGAAATAAGCTAACAGCTAAATCCTGCATAAATAATGTCTTCTCTTTGAGATAAATATATTGAATGCATGGTCCCTGTTTAATAAAGTCATTCTAATAACACCACCTCATGCTGGTTCCTGTGCATCCCTCCCAGGTGGTGTTACTGGTGATGAGCATCAAGCTGATGGGGCAGATTCGGAGGAAACAGGAGTTCATGGCTCTTCTCCAGTCCAACAGATATGTCCCCGGGGCCTTCTAGTCACCTCGTATGTTTTGATACACACCTCAAACTATAATCAAGCATACCTAATTTGTATTTGCACATACATATAACACAATACGCTGTATACCATATCCTAGCTGTGCTATAGGCAACATATGTTGACATTAAAATGTTCTGTTAATGCATGTGACTGATATTGAAAAGTAACCAACATGCAATTATTTGGCCTTAATGCTGTAAAAACATTGCAATTTAATGAAGTATTTAATAATCAGCACATTTTCAAAAGCTTTTGTCCTATCTCTGAAGTTATTAATTGAAATGAATATCTTACCAAGCATTAACCAGCCATTTGTTTTCTTTGAGTAGCTGGAGTTGACCACAGCGTTTTTCATGAACAGTAAGTGACATCTTACCTGGATAATAATGAGATGATACTTACCTCCATTTCCTTCATACCTGGATACATTTCGGAGGACAGAGAATAATCTAATTGCATCTATAGAACCTACAACTTAATCAATTATTAGGTTTAATTCAACACCTGGACCAACTATTTAAATATTCATAGTAGTCTTTACATTACATTATTAGTCTTTACATTACATTACATTTTCCAGCATTAGAGCAAGTAATAATCTTTGAACAAATTATAATATTAATAACCCTTATGTAGCACCTTTCTTAAACAGTGTTTACAAAGTGCTTTGATTGAAATATAATCATTTATTTATTATCGAGCAATGTATTTTCTTGGGTGAATAATCAGGTTAGACAATGCAATGAGCATCAGCTCTCGGAATGTCTCGATGCCTTGTTATGCACAATGTATATTTGACTCTTCATCCCTCCATTTAGTTGTTTCTTAAAGCACATTAAGTCGGGTGTATTGTACGGTGGCCGACAGATGCAAACGCGCTTCAACAGTCCAAAATATATACCATTAGGAGAAACGCACTGCAGCTTCAGAAACGAAATATAGAAAGACAAATGTGTCAAAATACATGAAAAATGAAGAACCATCTTTACAAACTCGAAAAAAACATGCACAGCATTTACTAAAAGCCCTACATAAACGAAGCACTGCGAATACAAAACGGGGTGGGGTAGGTGAAGTTTGGTAGGTAAAGTTTGTGTTGCCCACAACGCCACCTACAGTAAGGGAGTTTCACCCACTAACTATTAATAATAAAAAATGTTAACCCACAAGGAGCACAGGTTCGCTTTACATAACGGGCCAGAGACAGTTTCAGTTTGAGTTAACACAATTACTTTATTTTATAACAATCAATTGATTATTCTAAAAACACCACAATTATACAATCAGCTAAAAGTTAATACGGGGGCATATGAGGTACAAGGCAGGGCTGGGGCTTAACAGGCGGCAATAAATAAAAAAGGGGGAAGGGTCCAACTCGAAACCACCCGTGTCACCGCACACCAAACAAAAGGACACCACCACCAGGGATTAGGGTTTCCGCCTCGGGCCCACAGCACCTGTCTGACAAGAGGAAGACAGTTCAAACCTCCACACAGTATTACACTTATGATAAAAACAGATATGGCAATTGTACTGCACTGCAAATACAAAACGCTATAGATTTGGCAAAATGAAAAGGGGGGACACTAATAAGTGATGCACACAGCTGGGACTGGAGGGATTATAAATGTACGTTTTAGTGGTTTGCATGATTCTTTCCGATATTACTAGGTAAGCTATATATATATCTGAAGGAATCAAGCGATCACATTGTTTAAATAAGCCGATAAAACTCACATTTTATGTAACTTAATGACAACAGTGACAGTTGGCCTACTTTATAATCTCCGAACGTCAACAAGCGCTCCGGTCCCAGCTGTGTGCATCACTTTTTAGTGTCCCCATGTTTTCGTTGTGTTTTGAGTTCCTTGCAGCATTTTTTATTTGCAGCATTTTGTTTATGTAGCACTTTTTAGGGCACGTTTTAGGGCCCACTTAAGAATCTACATTTTTTTTGTGGCCCACATTCAACCATATGCAATACGGAGGCTAAATAAAATTCTGATTGGTCAATTCAGAACATGTGACACGTTGTTAATCCGGTGGTACAGATCGCTGTCAAAGACTGTAATGACCGTTGCTAAGGAGGATCAAGAAAGACAAAGGAAAGGAGGTTCGAATAAAAAAAAAATCTTAATAATGAAAATGTTTCCACACAAATCATAATGTTTTGCAAATTATTTAGCGGCCCACGTGTTTCGTCAACTTGGTGAATATATTCTAAATGTTGCGCATGTGTTGTCAAGTTGGTAAAGATGATTCTTCATTTGCATGTGTGTTGGCACATTTGGGTTTTTATATTTGTTTCTGAAGCTGCAGCTCTTTTCTCAGAATGAAAGTGTTTTGGGTCGTTAGAGCGTGTTCGCACCTGTCGGCCACCGTAGGATTACCCCCCTAAGAGGAAAATGGATTCTGTTTGGTTGCACATTCAGTAGACATGCAGTAAATCCTCAAATGTTTTGCGCCCAAAATATGATTTTTTTTGGCGAGGCCGCTGCAGAAAGGTCGTGAGAGGCTCTTGTAAGAAAAACGCGTCACTAAGATTCTTCTGTCCCAGCTGATGCCGCTCTCACCGAAGAAGCCTTTACGCCACATCACTCCTAACATGACTGCATGAGCTGCCTGAGGTGGAAATAAATAAACTGTCGAATGATTTTCCTCTAAAACAGCAGATCCAATGTCTACCTGTGCACTTTAACCATAATGCCTAATATCAGTATGTTCTTGCAAAGTATGGTATTTTTTATTTCTGTCATAAACTGTTTTTTTTTCTTATTATGTTTTATTTATGGAATGAACTTATGTAATATATTTTGTAAATAGCAGGAATAAAATATGTGATTCTTGACGTTTTTATTTCCAAAATGTTTCTTCAAGCTGAAAACGTACATTTAGACCCAAGTGCTGTATAGTTTTGTGGTACTTGTGCTTCCATATATTATGCTATTTTAGAACAAAATATTGTACTTTTTACTCAAATAGTCTTTATTGAGCATTTTGATATGGAACCTTTGCTAATTCTACAATCAATGATCAGTTTACACAAGGGAAACACAGTAGGTGGGAGGTTGGATACATTTGATATCATCTGTGAGTCGACTAAGATAATCTCAACATTACATGTTTTTATTTCTAAGTTATTCATCCTTTCATATTAAAACAGAAAATGGCTATCGATCCCTTTCGCTGACAATACATTACAAAATGCCCTGTGCTGTACCAGGTTAAATAGTTTCAAAGGCAAAATAATACATATACAACATGCAATAAACTTGTTTAAAGCAAATTATCAAACAAAAAAAACGAGGTAATCTTTATCAATCCCATCAGGTGCAATCTGCAGCGTATCCCAGGATGTTGACGTTTCTTGCCTCTGGACTGTAGACGACAGCAGGAACATCTTCCTTGTTGTTCAGCTGACACACGATGAGAATACACAACACGGTGGACAAGATCTGCAAGACGGAGAAAAAAGAGACAGCTCTATGTTCAAATGTTAAAAAGCTCTAGAACAGCTTCTAAACAACATTGAGGTGAAATTGTTTTGTAGGTTTCAGAGATCAAAAATAAAATATGAAAATGTTTAGTTTCATAACATCTGGGCAAGCAAAGTCAATATGATAAATAGCCCCTAAAAAGCTCCTTCGTGGACAATATGTTAATAAACAAAGAACGTAGAGAAGTTAAATGTAGGTAGTGTATATTTATTATAAATGCATACAGATGGTTATACATACCAAGGAAACTCCGATTCCCATCACAAAGCCTATTGAAATATTTAGTCTCATCATGAATTCTTCCATAAAGTATGAAAGGCATGGCTGAAACAGAGCAGATCAATCAGTAACGTGTACGTTGCTTCATAATATAGTAAACTAAAAAAAAACGTTTTAGACAACAGAACTAATTTTTTGTGTAAATATCTTACGTTTTTCCCTACGAAATTAGCACATTTGTGTGTTTATATTTGTTTTTGAAAGTGTGGCACGTTTCTCCCAATGGAAGTGTTTTGGGCCGTTGTAGCGTGTTTGATTGTGTGGGTCTCCATAGCTATATTCCAAAACGGTGTGAAACTTTTATAACAACTTGAAAAATGTCTTTTACAATGTGCAAACATTTTAAATGTTTCATCTTGATTTTAAAAGTGGTCTTGTGAAATTCTACAATTTAGCTATTGTGGCATACTGCATCCTCACATTTCCATATATTCTGTCTCTTTAAATGGAGACAAGCTTTTTCTTGCATTGTATTTGTAATGGTGATTAAATGGCGACACCCATCAACACATTAACAGTTTTCAACCTGTAAATGTAAAAGTTATAATTTGAATAAAAATATTTGTATTACCTCCTGATAAATCTTGATGGGCTTCTCATCGTCGTTGTGCTCAAACAGACTGCTGTTTCTAGGAGCCGCCACCTACAATACAAAGTCACAGAGGAGGGAGAAGTACTCAGATGCTGTACTTCAGTAAAAGTACAAGTCCCAGAGTGTAGGAATACTCTGTTGCAGTAAAAGTCCTGCAATCAGAATGTTACTTAAGTAAAAGTAGAAAAGTATTAGCATCAAAATATAGTTAAAGTAGCGACAGTAAAAGTAGTCATTGTGCAGATTGGTCCATTTCAGAATAATATATATGATATGTTTTATAATGATTGATCATTAAAGTGTTCTCAAACCTGGTAAAGGTGCAGCTAGTTTGAATGACTTTGTATAGCTTGTGAATTTACTCCAGGTGGAACTAAAGTCTGATTTAAGACTTGATTATATTTCACATCGTTCATCCAGATCTGTAAAGTAACTGAAGGTATCAGTGGCGTAACAATGTTATGATTGGCCCCGGTGCAAATATTGTTTTGGAGCTATCAACAATCTAGCTTCCCCAGTTGATAGCTTAGGCTATATTGAGACATTTTAGAATCAAAGATTAAATCGTTCTCATACTGCCTTTGCTGCAGCACCTCTTTTCACCCTCTGTCTGAAACCAGAGCCCAGTCTGCTCTGATTGGTTAGCTGTCCGACTCTGTTGTGATTGGTCAACCGCTTAGAGATGTCCCGCCCCTTAGATGGGGAGGGCGTGCCTCCCCCTCTCTGCCTGTGTATAAAAACAACAGTGCAGTACAATGTGAATTAAGAACGTATTGATCTGGTTATACTGGTGGCGTATACTTCCAGTGTGTCAGATTACATCTACTTATGCAAAATGTTAAACATTGGCCTCTGGGACCCCTCCAACAAGCACACAGTGATTTAAAAAGAGAAGTCCTCAGCCACTGTGATTCATGGCTGTGATTCCAAATTAATTTAGATATAAAATCTGTGAGAAAATAAGAAATCTTTTACCTTTTGAGTAAACATACTGGTTCTTTGGAGCCCCGA